AACAAACTAGTTATAAGAAGGGTTACTGGTAAAGTTCATCCATACAAGGCCTTCAACAGTATCTGATCCAAATAAATTAAGTAACAATAGTTTGATTTAAGGTCAAACTAATTTAAGGTGAATCAAACTTTAAAAAAAAATTGCCAGTTTTAAAAATTGTTTCTTCAGAATGGAGTTTTTCCAAAATAGTAAAATTAAAAGAGGTGTATTATTTATTAAGTATTTTAAAACTGTAATTCTCCCGTATTGTAAGCTTTTCCTGGGAACTGGGTCAAAATTATACTTGTGACTTTTTTTTTCTCACTGTGCTTTTAGAGGTACATCAGAGGCGTATATTTCATCACTCGCCCCCTGTGTAGCTATAATAACTCCAAATATGTAGCTAATTCACATAAAAGTCTAACAATGACTTTTAATCTACTTTAAGAGGTCTAAAGTTACTCTTACAGCAATGCTTTAGCTTCCTGTAAAAGCAGAGTTATGGATTAAATCATGTGTTATAGTAGAAAGACCTCAAAATAAATATATGGCAGAGGTGAGCAACCTTTAGAGGTGGCAGGGACCCAGTAAATTGTTTTGAAAATATCACAAAATCTTGGCTTTTTTTAAAGAGTAGAATAATCTAAATGCAGTCCTCTGGAATCTTATCTTGGTAATCCTTCAATTAATCCTTTGAGGTAAGCCATATAATTATAGTAATGGAGATAAGGAGAAAGACTAAGGCTGTGCAAGTTTTCAAAAAACACAGTCCTAGGCCGAGAGGGCTCCGACTGATTGCCATGGTGCCAGCTTTCTTATTTTACATTAGGGCCCTTCAACTTGTTGGACATTATGGCATTCTCATAAAATGGCTATATTTACAGAGGCAAACTAGTGAAATGGCTTTCAACTGTCCTCTTTTGCTTTACAGAAGCTCTCTACCATGTCAGTTTCCCTATCCATTTGTTTAGGCAAGTAAATATATATATATATTAAATGTATCGGACTGCATCCACCTATCATTATGATTTTATACGGGTGGGATCAGAATGGGGATTAAGATGCATTCTTAGTTCTAAAGATGACCTTGGGTAATGATCTTGGTCTCAAATTGCTGATAGTAAACCCCAGATCCACCTTGTTTACCCATAGGTTGGTAGTGTGATGAACAGGGAAAGCTATCTTTGTGAGGATGGCAATGTCAACATCAAGGCAGGTGGGGGAAATGGCATTAATCTGCAGAGACATCAGGCTTGTGACTAGGATGCTGCTACGGAGCTGCTAGGATATGAGTGCTTTGTGTTATAGTGGTCCACAAAAACAAGCTGGGGGTTCTACTTGTGTACTGGCTGTCCTCTGCATAGTGATATCCTTACATGAGCTGATCTCAGGGTTGATATTGGGATTTTCCACTCCTTCTGGTGTTGGATGACTTCAGCCCTGCATGTCTAGAGGATGGAATCCAGGAAGGCTTGGGATTTCATGGCCTCCATGGTGACCATGAGAGCCAGTTTGGTGTAGTGGTTAAGGCATCAGGCTAGAAACCAGGAGACCGTGAGTTCTAGTCCCACCTTAGGCACAAGGCCAGCTGGGTGACCTTGGGCCAGTCTCTGTTTCTCAGCCCTAGGAAGGAGACAGTGGGAATCACTTCTGAAATCTTGCTAGGAAAATTTCAGGGACTCATCCAGGCAGTTGCCAATTGTCAACACTGACTCAAAGGGACCAAAAGAAAAAGTTACTATGGGATTGTCCATAGTAATCTCAGGCATGACACACAAACAGTGGGGCAAAAAAGTATTTAGTCAGCAACCAATTGTGCAAGTTCTCCCACTTAAAAAG